ATTTAACAACTGTAAACTATCCGATACATTTATTATATGCTGATGATACTGTATTTCTTGTAACAGGTAGAGATAGTCTTTCACTTAGAGCAAATACTTGTAGATCCTGTAATGCAATGGAAAATTATTGCTATCCTATTGATCTGGTCTTGAACAACAATAAAACTGAATTATTTCTGTATAGTACTGTTAAGTTGGACTTCAGCCCAATGTTGCGGCAGTAGTTTTAAGCAAGGCACGTATTTTATTACCTGTGTGTTTATTTTGACCAAGCTCTCATATGGTCTAAGCAGTCTAAGCAAGTAGATGTTGTTGCTCAAAATTAACGACTCACTGTTACAACATATGGCAGTCAAAATTATATGTCGATATCGAGATTTTGTTAATGTATTACTATGCATACGTGCATTCCACACTGTATGTCTGTTTTTGACTAATATCACGTAGTCCAACGGAAATAAACATTTATTTACTTCAAACACTCAGACACTCCGCAAAGCTTCTCTTGGAAGCTATAGGATGGAAGCTTACGTACGAGGACAATATGCCTCAGCTGATCTAAATATTATATTTGTGATATCAAGAGCAACGACGTTAGACGTGGCAACATCGTAGGTAGGTAGCTTGTGCTTTGAGTTAGAACCAGCATTTCGACTGAGGCGAGAGGTCCAGGCTGCTGGCCACAGAACATAAATGTATGGTCGGTGTTCGGTAACAGATTTGCCAATTTACATAAAATTATGAACACCCACTGTAGATTTGAAGGTGTTAAATTGGGCGCTCAAAGCTTTGAAGGGCTGAAATCAAGAGTCCCGTGGGACATAAAACGTGGTACATAAATTTATATATACAGTAAGTATACAAGATTTTGGTCTTTCCAGCGTTCTATATCTGTGTGGAAGACAAAATACTTGCGACTAAACAGATCAGAGACTCAAGAAGTTGTCAAAACGGTACAATAGTATATCAATCTTCCTTTCTTGAAAGGGTCTATATAATGAACGATGAAACATCCAAGAACTGTTCAAATCGGCCATTTTTCTTAAGCTAAATGTCCCATATCGCATATCCTTTATACCAAATGTCCCCGACAAAACTAGTCTTTCAGAACAGTACGTGATAGTAAAATTGACTCAGCCTATCCTCAGCCTGACTAAAATGCATTCAATTTGAGTTCCCACAATAGGTTTTTTGATTTAGATGAAGCATATGGTTATCTTGAAAGACCGTTTTTCTATATTGTTGGAAAAAGTGGGAGTTTATAAAAAAATTAACACGAATGTTAATCTAATTGGTCTTCCCACCACCCGAGAGGCAGGGTCACGGAAAGTGATTGTTTCTAGTTTTGATACATTTGTGTAGATTTTGAATAGTTCTAAATGGCAAGATTTCATAAGAATTCGCAAAAATACAAATTTTCGTAAAACATAAACACCACCAGTCTTGTTTTGTTTGTTCTTGCACCTACACTGGGAATATTTATGCGAATCACCTTTAGCTCTTTGGCAAACATTATTGGGCCTTAATTCTTATGTCTCTCCATTGGTATTCCTCAATATTTTATTCAAAGCTTCATTTTTTATAACATTTCAGGTGATAAGAATAACAAGGCCAGCTCCCAAAGCTTATGTCTAGCCTGGCGTACCCACTGAGTCATTTCGAACGTCAATGCGTCCATTTTCCAATTTTCATTTGCATTTTTTAAGTATTATACAATGATTACGGAAAACAAAGTGCTACGGATGATCTTGCAGAGCCAAACTAGAGTATATTTCAACAGTTGTCTTGCGTGGCCTAGTCATATTATCTTTACTCGGGTCAACCTCTCTCAAGAAAGGACAACATATAAATAACCCGTCGGACACAGCTAATAGACCTATTTCATTGGCAGCATATTCAGTAATAATTTTCTCACATAGCAAATATCACTGATCTTATACACATTATACACATGCAGACAAATACACATAATCATCCAGATGCGATCTTGCCACCTTTCTGTATTTCACATCTTCTTAGAGATAAACACAACATACTACTTGCATTGCTGCAATCAACAAGCAACCCACAATGCATGTCGTGTCTATTTGCACACTAAAAACTAGCTAGTCTGCAAGATGACATTTTGCCCTTTTTTTACTTTTTTGTTTTTTACATTGATACCTCTGGCGAAAAGTTATTACTTAAACATTCTTAGATGATATAAAAAACTTTTTTGATAAGGTAAGCTCTAATTCTGTACTAGCCGGGCCAGACATTCTCAGTGCCTCAGGACGAACATTATAAAAGTGGATTCCATAGCAGTTCGAACCGTTTTTAGTTCGTTGTAGACAATTTTTAGGAATATATAATTTATGCATGTTACCTGTATTGTCACTATTTACATCACTGGGCGCTTTGTACGGATCCAAATAGTTATGTGCAGAACATAAGCAGATAAATATATGTAGTGATGGAAGAGTAAGGATCTTTAGTAACGTATCACCATAAACACAGATTTTCAGATTCCTAATTAAAAGTCAAAGTCAAAAATTTCACTACCTCTATGGTATTGACGTTATGGTGACACAAACATTAAGTGTAAATTTATTTGCTAAAAACCACTTCTCTAAATTTACCATGTATTCAATATTCGCAGCGAAAAGTAGATCAATCGATTTGAGAGAGCATTGCTGTTGTCATTTATGTAGACTAAGAACAAATATGTACCCAGCACAGAACCCTGTGGGACGCCACATGAAACTGTCGTTGTACTGGAGGTAGTGTTGTTGAAGGTTACAAGTTGCTATCTGTTGCTCAAATAACATGACAAGGGCCTAAAGGCGGCTACAGACATGTGAAGTTTGTCAACTTTCAAACAGCAAATGTTTGATATTTGGCAAATATCTCAGACACACACTATATGAAAATACACAAATACTTGTTATTTGTCATACATCAAATATTTCCCATCAATTGTGGGTAAATAAGTACAAATCAAAAGAGACAAATATTTGAGATTGTGCCTAGTTTTTTCAGATACACACATGCCCCGTATTTAAATATTGATATCGCAGTGTGCCCGTGTTCGAGATGGAGTGGACAAACGAACTTGTGCTGGAGTTTTTAGAATTGTACGAAGAGGAACCTGCAATATGGAATGCTTCGCATATTCAACATAAAAATAGGAACGACGTATATGATGCATGGTTACGGATAAAGAATAAATTAAGCACGCCTTGTTCTATATCCGACTTAAAAAGAAAAAGGAGTCACTAATGTCATCATTTCGAACATGCTTGAATAAAGTAAAAGAAAGTAGTAAAAGTGGAGCAGGTGCCAGTGATATTTATAAACCCACTTGGTTTGCCTTTGAAACAATGGCACGTTTTGGAGGAATAAGGACGAACCAAAGAAAACAATAAATTCAGAGGTTAGTAGAACCGTTTATTTATTTTTTATTTCCTATGGTTTTTCAAAATAAGGGCTACTTATGCCCGACACTGTGTACAAATTTCAAGATTTAACAATAATTGTTTTGCCAATCAATCCGACCTTCTGCCATGAAATATTCAGCAAATTCATCCCGAATAATTTTTGCCTCCATACTTGCTTTTCATGGCACCTTCTTAAAAGGTAACAGTGATGCTATGTTATCTTGATCACGACGCCAGAAACCTGGTTCGATATTTCCCTCTTCTCCAGCATCAAACATTCCCGGAGGTGAATATTGTGACCGTGAAGTTGTACTGTTTCTCAAAAAATTATGCAACACGATACAAGTCATAATAATAATTGTCGCTTTTTTGCCTCAAGTAGCATTGGTTTTCGTAAGACTCGAAATACACAGGACATTACTCCAAAAACATTCTCTACTACACGTCTCGCCCGTGATAGACAATAGTTAAAAATCCTCGTTTTACTGCCCTTTGTGTGCAGTCCAGGAAACGGCTTCAGCATACACATGCTTAATGGAAATGCATCATCACCTATGAAGACATATGGGATCCAGGAGTTGGTACGGTTAAAGAATTCATCCAAAGGCAAATTTGACTTATTACCTTCCATTTTGGTAAACAACTGAGTATTCCGAAATACTGCTCCATCGCTAAGCCTACCTTGGCAACCACAATCTGCATATATGAAGCAGTAATTTGCATCTACCAAAGCCATTAGTACGACACTAAAATAATTCTTATAATTGTAATATTCGGATCCGCTGTTAAAAGGAGACTGTATAGTTATGTGCTTTCCGTGTAAGGCGCCCACACAATGGGGAAAATTCCACAATCTCTCAAAGTCGTTTGATATACTTCTCCACCCTTCTTGGGATGTAGGCATCTGAAAGTGCATACATACAATTATTGAGCCACAATGATTATGAATATTATGGTACTAATAATAATAATAATAATGAAAATAATAATATCAGTTGGTCGAAGTGAATTCTTCTTCATCTGAATAAATTTAACCGGCCAAAACCGTGAAAAAAAAAATGGAAATAGAATTAGTATTAATGATAATATTATTATTATTATTATTTTAAGACAATAGAGACAAATGGCGTTCTAGGATAATAACATTTTAATTTTGTGATTTTCAGGATATTTTGTCACAGCTCGACGAGGAATCCAGCGAAGGCGACAAACCGGAACAAATACAGGATGATCTAACTTCGACATCTTTTTCGACACCAAATAAACAAAGGCGAAGAGCTATTGCGAAATCTGATTTCGACGGCTTTGATAGAGGATTGCTTCGTCGATCTATAATGAATTTTACATAACGGAAACGAAGGTTCCAACTTTGCGGCGCATACAGAGGAAATTTGTTCAAGAACACAATTACACTGGATGGATCACATGAAACTTTAAGGAACGTGGTGAGGATAATGGGATTTCGTTGGAGGAAGGAAGAACTAATAGAACACTTCTTATGAAGAAACCAGAGATTCAGCATATCAGGAGAAGTTTTCTGAGAAGGATGAAAGAATATAGAGAAAAAATTGTTCTATAATTTATATGGACGAAACATACATCCATAGATCACATACGTATGAAAAGAGTTGGAGCGATAATACCAATGAGTTCCTTCATAGGCTAGTTTTAAAAGGACAAAGATTTATTACTGTGCATACTGGTAGTGAAAATGGTTTCGTGGAACATGCATATCTGAAATTTAAATCCACTAGTAAGTCGGGTGATCATCATAGTGAGATGAACTATAGTAACTATAAAAAATGGCTTCAGGATAAAGTGATTTCCAACCTACCACCAAATAGTGTTTTGGTTATAGACAATGCTCCGTACCACAGTGCTCAGATAGACAAATGTCCTACTGTGTACTCTAAGAAGGATCATATGAAAGCATGGCTAAGGCAAAAAACATACATTTCACTGACCATATGTTGAAAATTGATTTGTATAGCCTTATCAGAATGCATAAGCCGGCATATATAACTATTGAAATAGACATAATAATGGCTGGAAAATGTCATTCTGTTTTGATATTGCCACCATATTACCCCGACTTGAACCCAATTGAGTTGGTGTGAGCATCTTTGAAACAATATGTGGCTGAGAAAAATGTAGATTTTAATCTCAAGAATGGAATAAGCGATGTGAGTATGCCAAAGGTTCTGAGAAGCAGTATATGGAAAGGAAACCAGCAGTCGACTTAGTTGTGGATCAAATAATAATAACCCTAGACGAAAATAGCGATAGCGAAACCGGTTTAAGTAGTAGCTCGGATTCCGATTCCGAACTTTCAGGATTTGATCCTTTGTGAAACTTCATAAATCTTAAAAATATTGCCAACTGTATCTACTACGATGTTAGTTTTCTGACCTTACTTTTCATTTGATTGTTTATTAATGGAAATTATTAACAATTAAAAATAGAATGAGTACCAATCAATTTCAGTCTTATAGCTACTTAGCGTGCAATAGTTGTTTTAGGGAATAAATTGTTTTGGTACATTAACGTATTCCATTATTGAAATTATTCGATTAACTTAGGACGCAGACTGTACAACTAGAGATCGGTATTGTACGTGCCCCCACTTTTGCTCCGAATGCATTCTCTCTCTCTCGTGTGCGCAATCACAGCAAATCCTCATATCTTTTCCTAAACTTATTATTATATTAGCATTAGCCTTGTACCGCCTAATAATCAGAATCTTAAGTTGTTTTTTGAAAAAATAGTATATTTGGAAACTGAAGTTGATGGTTTACAGTGTTTACACGTAGCGACACTTCGTCCGGAGAACATAAACATTTACAAACAACTAAAAATGGGTCGATTTCTAAGAAAGGTAAACCTTTTAAGCTAGTATATAACATCTCGGTAAACAATTTTAGTCCAAGTTATAGCTTATAGGACAAGAACAAATCGGTTAATTGCGATATCCCAGAAAATCCAAATAGAGTCCAAATTTTGAGGTACCTACTGTTACTGCTATAAACAAGTTAGAGCAACAACAAATATATGTCGCTGGTCCGATTTTTGAATTATCAGAAGTTATTAAAATCGTGAAAATCCTCTTTTAAGAGATTGTTCTATATTCTTGATACTGTAGGAACGGAGGAATTGTCTTACCGACAAATTCTCGTTGCAGAGGGGATATCCCGAAAAAGTAGCCATACCGTTATTATCAGTTTTGATACGAGTACGCTATTCATATATCGCAGTTATCTTCTCCTAAAATAGGGCATCTTTCTCACACGTAGCGAGCTTGACAAATGGTCCGGTCGGAATTCTCACGGCCCATTTACCGTCGCCGTGTCGCAAAACGTGTCATTTTCGAAGCGACTTTATTATTTCACAGGCCGGTGGTCTTCACTCTGACTGATTTGAGGGTTGCTAAACGAAAATATCCTGTCTCTGCTTCCTATTTACATACCAAACAGTTCCGTTTTGTTTTTATTATTTTTGGGACGATTCAGTGTGTTTTACAACGTGTGCGGTAATAGGGTGTGGAATTATTAAGTGGCTTGTTCAAGTTGGAAGCATCTGGTCGTTCTGTTTTGTCAATTGTCATTCTCTTGTGTGAAATATTTATGAGAATAGCTAATCATTTTCGGTTATTTGGTATGTCAGTTGATAAATAGCTTTTAGTAGATGGACTAGGGGGTGGGACACGTTTATAAGCCTTTTACTCATGAATCGGATTTAATGAAATTCATGTTACTTATGTTGCATACAGTTTACGATATTCTGATGTCACTGGTCCTAATGGTAGAGTTCGTTTCACCGCATATTTCCTCATATTTCGATCATTATTTGAGTCATTCTATATGCTTTATTTAGTACAGACCTGATGTCATTTTTAGAGGAACGGTATCGTTATACAATATAAAATCTTCTGTAAATTTTTTTAATCACCTTGATTTTGCCATTTCATGAAATCAAATTTAAAAGCTCTACGTGAGTTACGTTCCAGTGTATTGTATATAATGTAAAGGCAAGATGATGATCTGGCACAAAAATGACATCAAGTGCGTTGACCCAACACCTCCAAGGCAACGCCGTCGTCAGTCAATGTCCATGCTGCAAGCTGTGACAGTAGATTCAAAATTGATTGAGTAACAAGATCGAATCTGGATGATTGCATGGTGATTGTGTGTATTGGTCAGTATGTGTATAAAAATGTGTATATAAACGTGTATATATAAATATATAAACATATTTGTTATGTGAGAAAATTATTACTGAATATGCTGCCCGTGAAGTACCTGTATGTAAGGGAGAGTGGGAGAATTGTGGGCACCTAAGCAAGATGTGCTTCCGTGACTAGACCATTGACCTTATTACACTCATACTTTAATTTAAAGAGCATTTATTATACTTTTATTACGTAAAAAGAAATATTCTTCTACTTTTTGTAGAACCAAGTACAACCTAGTACAAGTAAAAACAAAACAGTGATGTGCGCACAATTCCCCACCCTATGAAAAATAACAAATCAAGAACTTTTATTACGTGTTTATTAACATCTCACTAACATAAAAGTTTTTCTAAGGGCCAATTTCACCAACATCAGTCCGTTATTCTCAACCAATAGGGTAACTGACCGTCAGATACAGCGAATGAGCTTCAAGTTCCAATCAACAAATTTTAACAACCAATAGCTATGAAATGTTTAAAACAAAATACTGTCAAAGTATGAGATGACAACTTGTCATTGAAACATCACCAGCTTATTGAATATTAAGAAATTACATATAATTCAGTCATAATTTAAAGAAATGTTTGATTTTTGAATTAAATTCATGTTTTAATTACTGTTGTTGATTTTTTATTCATGTTTATATAATTTTCTTCAATTGATATGCTATCTTACTCATTCAACATACATACCGTGTGTTCTTTTCCTATAAACCTCTTGCAGGTAGCCATTAAGCACCTACTTGATGACAGGCTCTACCAAAAAGTTCATAGATATTGCTCGTTTCCAAACATTCACTCATTTACTTGCCGTCCATCAGAACCATTATAGCACCTGAGATTGATATTCCCACAAAACCATTCAGGTCTTTTGATATCCATACATCCATAAAGTTGAATATTTTTCGTTGTTCAGGAACTTAACAAACATCCACACTATATTCCCAGCGATTAAGAAATACCCAAATATATGTGGTAGAGCTACCAGCAAACCTAAAACTTGCAGAAAAACTAGAAATTTGCAATATTTTTCTTTTTTCACGAGTACACATTCTAGTTTATATTTATATTAGACATTATTTGAATACAGCTGATTCACATGTGTGTGATCTGTCAACCTTTGGTCACAGTCACAAAACATTTATACTCTGAAGAAGGTTTAATTCCATGCTATTCCATGACAACACGGTGACTTGTGTGGTTGTCAGCGGTCATTTTTTGAGGGTGCGACATGGTTGCCAGATTGTGCATTAATATCCCGTTTCACACCCCTGGTCCCAGGGGAGTAAGTTCCGCCAACTGTTGAAATATACTCTACTATGCTTTATAAGACTATTCGTGGAATTTTTCCCAAAATCGTTGCACAACACTTGAAAAAATGCATATGAAAATTTAAAATTATTTCCATGACGCCGCAAAATAGCTCCGTCGGTACCTCGGGTTATACATCTTGACAGTAGGGATGTTCGATACGATCCTGTATTTAGAAGTATCAATTCATTTCACGAGTATCGTCATCTTTCGATCCGGACTGTGCCAGAAAGAGTGACTAACTTCAGATTACCTTTCTTCCGCTGGATATCGATAATTTTATTCCAATATTTTAGAGTATCGATACTTCCTAAAACGATAGAAATCGATACATAACGATACTTTGCAGGGTGCGGTGTTGCCTTTACTATCATACATTTTGATAAAATCATGACAAGAAGGGCTTCAAATGAAATATTGACGAATATGAACGGATATGCATAGAATGTAGAATATAAATTCATATTGCAAATTTCAGAATGTCTATCCATGGACTTGAACCGGATTTTTCGGTATTTTTACCAAAAAGATAATATTTACCGATAACATCATTCTCCAAAATAATTTAAATATTTCTATACTTACCGAAAAAGAGCTCTATATCAATAATAAATATGCATACACACTCATACCTCACTTGCCCTGACTTGATTTTTGTGCATATAAAAGGTACAGACTGGTAGATTACCGTCATTACCTCATCACCGGACAAGCAATAAACAAACCGAAAGCTGCCTGTTCTCAAAATAAATATTTAATTAAAATGAGAGGTGAGTTCATGAGTTCAAGGGTAAAACAAAAAAATATATACAATACTATAAGCAAGAATCGAAAAAGAAGTTTCCAGAATGGTTGCAAAGTACTTTGAATGAACGACCAGTATGCACATTGTAGAAGTTGTAATATATACTAAGTGACATATAAATCCGAACACCCAGTTTGAATGGTTTTATTTTAATAAAAGTTGGTGAATGTATTTATCTTACTGTAAATAACAAGTGAACAAATTTTCAGCCTTATCAGTTGGACATTCCGGTTTTTATACTGCTTTTTTTTAATTCACTAACGCTCTAAAAATGAATATTTCAGCCGCAGTAAAGAACCAACGTTGGCGGATTTTGGTTCTTGACATCCTTTACGATCGGTTACGATGCCTAGACTACGGAGACCGGTACGATTTCGTCAACTTAGTGAGTTTGATAGGGGCCGTATAGT